TGGGTGCACCAAGGGACAGATAAGGTGTTATGGGATCCAGAGGAGGAAGCTGCTTTGGAAGCACAGGACTCAGGGAGCAGATGGACCTTGCTCCTGGGCCAGGAGGAATAGGGAGAATTGGTGGATGATGTAGGGATGCAGACACATGGAATGGGGACGAGTGGGAGAGAAGGGAGCCAAGGCAGGGAGTCAGGACAGCGCAGAGCAGTTGAGGAGGGACTCTGCTGCTGAATCTGGCCTGCTGCCTGTTTGGATAAATCAGAATGGAACATGGCCCCACCCAGTTGTCGCATATGGTCCATGTGCTGTAGGCAGAGTTGTGTTGGGATGAATGTGATAGTCGGCAGAGCCTAAAATCGTAATTCTCTGACCCTTTGTAGAAACATCTCCCCCTGACCTTTGAAAGTGAAAGTGAAAGTCACTTAGTCATGTCCGACTCTTTGCGACCCCATGGACTATATGATCCATGGAATTCTCCAGGCCAGAATACTGGAGTGGGTAGCCTTTCCCTTCTCCAGGGGATCTTCCCAATCCAGGGTTCGAACCCAGGTTTCCTGCATTGCAGGTGGATTCGTTACCAGCTGAGCCACAAGGGAAGCCCAAGAATACTGGAGTGGGTAGCCTATCCCTTTTCCAGTGGATCTTCCCAACCCAGGAATCGAACCGGGGTCTCCTGCATTGCAGGCGGATTCTTTACCAACTGAGCTATCAGGGAAGCCCCCTGACCTAAAGGAACACAGATCATGAGTTTGTGAGAACACAGAGCTCTGATGTGGGAAGGAGGGGGTGACGAGTCAAACCTGATTTGCAGGATGAAGTGGTGACTGTGGAGAGGCTGCTGAAAGCTTTTGAACTGGGATGTCATGATGCAAAGTGTGATTCTGGAAGATAATCTGACAGCAGGTGGAGATTGATTGTCAAGCAAAGGAGACTGGGGCCCTGTTAGCAGATCTTTGCGACAGTCAGTGATAGTCGATAGTCATCAGTGAGAAAGGAGGGCTTGTACTAGGGAGGTGGCGGGGAGGGGGGATGAGGAGTTGCTGGGCATGTGTAGGGGGAGGCACTGACGCTAGGGGCACTGAGATTGGAGGCAGGGGTGGGGAGGGGAGGGTGGAGGCAGGAACAGAAGCAGGAGACAGGATCGGCCAGTTCCAGCCAGAAGTTTCCCCATAGAGGTGGTGGTGGTGGTGGTAACTGCTCAGATCCCACGGACTGTAGCCTGCCAGGCTCCTCTGTCCATGGAATTCTCTAGGCAAGAATACTGCAGTGGGTAGCCATGCCCTCCTCCGGGGGATCTTCCTGACCCAGGGATCAAACAGCGGCTTCCTGCATTGCAGGTGGATTCTTTACCCTCCGAGCACCAGGGAAGCCCTTTCTACAGGACAACACTATATTTGGTCCCTGGCACCTGGGCTGGACCCACAAGGCCCTGTCACTGCCAGGTCGGCTTTGGGAGTGTGGACAGAGGTGGCCAGAAAGATGAGGAAGGCGATAATTTCCTTCCAACTTCCTGGGCAAAGGGCCTCTGTGGGAGAAATTTCTAGAAGGATGCACCTTATCTCTGCTGCCATCCTCCTCCCTCCCAGTTGCCAAGATAATCGGCTGAGATGGACATCAAAGGTTGCCTTGGTGGGGTGTGGCCTCGGAGGACAGCCTGCAGCATGGTGGGGGGGCTTGGGGAGGACACAGCCTCTCCCCTCCCTCCGCCTTAGCTGAACTGGTATGGAGTTGACTGTGTGGGTGTTTATTTCTCTCATCGGGGTGTGAACAGGGCTGTGACTCATTCATCTTTGGAACCTCCTGTTGGGAGCAGTGGGAGAGTTAATGATGAGGGAGGCGGTGAATCTGAGCCCAAGCCTTGGCCATTGGGTAGTGGAACCTCTTTAGCTCTCCATCTCCTCCATCCGCCACTGTCAGCAAAGGTCGGCTGACCAGCAACATCTGCACTGTTCCGTGTGCCTAGGACTGAGGATGGGGGATGTCTTGGGCTTGCCCTTGGGGAGGCTCCTGCAGCCTTCACTCCTTCACTATCTGCTCTGGGTTTTCTGGAAGTCAGGTGGCAGGGTGGGATCTCCATGGGGCTGGGGCTTCTCCCTGGCTTTGCTTCCAGAGCTGGGGTAGCCACAGTCCACCAGCTAAACCCAGTCTCACCCTGGAGCCCCAGTCCTGGGAGTGTGCTGGATGGAGACTCCGCTTGGCTCTGAGTCATGCTTTGGGGTTAAGGTGCCTTTAAACTTGTCTATGCAGAAGGAAGTGGCAGCCCACTCCAGTATTCTTGCTGGGAAAATCCTATGAACAGAGGAGGCTGGCAGGGTACCGTCCATGGGGTCACAGAGTTGGACACGGCTGAGTAACTGAGCACACATTCCCACACTTGGCTTTGCTGTGCCATATGCGTGGTCTCGTGTATCTTCACGGTGGGTCAGTGAGGTTTGCTTGACTGTGGGTCGCTGTCTTATAGACGAGGAAGCTGAGGTGCCAGTAGGTGAAGGGATTTGCCTGGGGTCAGTGGCTGAACTGATTGGAGCTTTGGGCTGTGGTCTCTGGGGCCCTTCCTTCCTTGGCTAACAGGGCTCATCCATAGGAGGGACACCAAGGTTTAGGACCCTGCAGTCTAAAATGGAAAGGCTGGGATGGGTCTCCGAGGACAGCATCTATCAGCTGGATTTTGCAGCACTTGAAGGCAGTTCTTGAGGACAGCCAGAGGAAGCCCAGTGTGTCCCTGGGCCTCTCAGCACACGTTCACTGTGGGCCAAGTCAGCCCTCAAGCCTGCCTGGCAGAAATGCCATTGGCTCAGAAGGGCTTGGGCAAGTTCTGTGGGTGATGGATCGCAGGTGGGTCCCTGATAGAGCCTGAGGAGGGTCCTGTCCTGATCTTTATGGAGCCAGTCCTTCCCCCACCAAGTCCCTGTGTCCCCACCAGAGACCACACACTGGGCGGGAGACCACACTCTGGGTTGGAGTCCCTCGGCCCTGGCCCCGGGAGATGGCATCCCTGTCTCACAATAATATGGGTCTGAGGAGGGGTGAAGGGCCCTCTCCTATTCCTTCCCCTTCCCCTCTCTTTCCTCCCTCTCCTCCTCCTCTGCTACCTGCCCCCTCCCCGCCCCCGGCCCGTCAGCTCCCTCTCCCCCCTTCTACTCTCTCTCCCGCTCTGCTCCCTCCCCCGCCTTCTTCCTTACCTGACCCTCGCATCTCCTTGGACTCACTGTGGTTGGAGCTGTGCTTGGTCCTGGGCAGTGGAACCCAGTCCCTGGATCCTGTAGAGCCTTTGAGCAGACACCCTTCTGCAGAGTCCCTGGCTGGTGGCTTGGCCGGGCTAGATCTTGGCACTTGCTGCTCCTGGCGCTGTGGTCTTAAACAGAACCTTCCTAGGTCTTGTCCCTGGCTCCGCCTCGGCTATGCTCATTGTCACCATGATCACATCTCCACCATCAGTAGTGACTCTGCTCTTGGCTGGGGCCTTTGTGCGACAGCTGGGGCCCTGTTTAGCTGACCAGATGCCCTGGGTGGTAGATCGCCTGTCATGTTTAAGGTATTATTAATACTTTTGGCCAGAAGCAGTGATTTAGGCATAATTTCTTGGGCTTTCCAGTTGCTTCTGGTGGCCAGAGCCCATGGCCAGGATAGGATCATCACACCCCCCAGCTGGTTCCCATGGATCACTATTACGATAATGGCAACAAAGGGCTGATTTCATGCACACCCTCTGGTTCTCGTTCCTCACCTGGACCACAGAGCTCCCAGGCGCCACACATCTGTTTCAGAGGAATGGCTAACACCTGACACCATGGCCAGACGTCTGCCTAACCGGCCCCAGGGGCAGACATCACTAATCAATCACGGCTGTCTTCCCCGTGAGCCCAGTGAGGACTCATGATCCTTCTGGAGCTGGCACTTGGGTGTCCGTTCTGATCTGCAGCATTCATTCATTCATTCACAGACTTGTTAATGAATGACAGTTAACAAATGTTAACTGTGTACAGAAAGTCCCCTACATATGAATCTTCAGGTATTGAACTTTCAAAAATGTGAATGTGTGTTCATATGTCCAGTCATCTAAGGTGTAAGTGAAATTGCAGCTTGCTCTCCATCTCCTGTTGCTGCTGATCCTTCCTTTCTACCATCTCCCATCTCTTCACCCTTCTGCGGGCAGTAACTCTTCTTGCCTCTTCACTCAGCGCCTGCCCCTGTATGCCAGCTCTTGTACTATGTTATGTACTTTTCAAGGTGCTGAACTGTGAGATTAAAAATTTTATTTTTTGTGTTTGCTTGTTTTTATGTATTATTTGTGTGAAAAGTATAAACTTATTATAGTACTGTATGGCTGACTCATTGGAAAAGACCCTATTGCTGGGCAAGATGGAAGGCAAAAGGAGAAGGGAAGAGGATGAGATGGTTAGATAGCATCACTGACTCAATGGACATGAATCTGAGCAAACTGGGAGACAGTGAAGGACAAAGCAGTCTGTGTGCTACAGTCCACGGGGTCGCAAAGAGCCAGATGCAACTTCACAGCTGAAGAATAACAACCACATAGCCGAGTTAGTTGGGTACCTAGGCAAACATTGTTGGACTTAATGAACAAATTGGACTTAGAAAAGTGTTCTCAGAATGGAACTTGTGTGTATATAGGGTATTTATTGTGTAACGTTTATTGAGCTGCTGTCATGCAAGGGAAAAAAGTATGGTCCTCGCCTCGTCAAGTGGAGCTCTGAATGTGGTAGTCAGACCTGGGAGCACCTTATCACTCTCTGATGCTCAGCTGCAGAGCAGTTAGAACTGGCTTCTTCAGGAGCCAGAGGGGACGGGACTTAATCACTGCAGGTGTCAGAGGAGGGCACAGGTCCTGTGTGGCCAGTGCTGTTCGTGTGTGCCCTGCGGAGCCAGCAGTGGATGGCACAGCTGCGGAAAGTGGGATCCCTTCTGAATCTGGGGACAGAGTCTGGCCAGAGACCCAGCCACGTGACCCGCCCTTACTGGTGCCTTCTCTCCCACAGGAGCAGGGGCTGAAGGCCAATAACTCCAAAGAGTTAAGCATGTGCTTCACAGAGGTGAGTGAGGGGCAGAGTGGGGGTAGGTGCGGCGATGGCNTGAGTGAGGGGCAGAGTGGGGGTGGGTGCAGGGGGCTGTGCGGGGAGGGGGGTTGTCTACTAGGCGAGCCTTGGGCCTGGAGCCCCGAGATTCCGTAACACAGGCTGGGCTAGCTCAGCTTCCGGGCCGCCTGAACCAGAGCGCGCGCTCGCTCTGTGGGGGGCGAGGATGGGTGGGAGTGGAAGTGACAGCCAGGGCCTTTCCTTGTCTCTTGGGGGCGATGCTCAGGCTGCTCTGAGGAGAGATCCTGGCAGGCCCTCCTGACTCTATAGACGTTCTGGGACACTCCAGAGAGGGGGAGAGATGGAAAAGGATCTGCGCGCGTCCTTGAGGGAGACCCAGCACAGGACTGGATCTGTGTGCGTGCTAAGTTGCTTCAGGGTCCGACTTTTGGCGACCCCATGGACTGTAACCTGCCTGGCTCCTGTGTCCATGGGATTTCCCAGGCAGGAATGCTGGAGTGGGTTGCCATTTCCTTCACATGCAGGGTCTCCTGCGGAAACAGTAACCCTAACCCTTCTCCTGGGTGGATCTTCCCCATCCAGGGATCGAACCTGGGTCTCCCTCATTGCGGACAGATTCTTTACTTTTTGGGCCACCAGGGAAGCCCAGCCCTACTGACTCATTTGTCTTTTTCTCTGCTTCTCTCTCTCTTCTGCTTGGCCGCAGCTCACGACCAATATCATCCCAGGGAGTAAAAGGGTGATCAAACCTAACTCAGGCCCCCGCAGAGCCAGACCGTCGGCTGCCTTGACCGCTGCATCCTTCCTGATGCTGAAGCTGGCCTTGTAGGCTCTGGGGATCCCATCGGGAGATTTCTGAAAGCTACACGGATGAGAACACCCGCCTGACAAAATGGAAACACACACAGACACACACAGACACACACACACACTTTGCAAAAAAAAAAAAAGATGTTTTTTCCCACTTTGTCTCTGAACCTGTCTCCTCCCAGGTTTCTTCTTTGGAGAAGCTTTTCTAAACCAAACAGACAAGCAGGCGGGCAGCCTGAGAGCTGGCCCAGAGGCCCCCTGGCCGGGGAAACCCCGTGCTGAGGAGGGCACATGGCAGGTCTAGAGATACCCTTCACTTTTCTCTGGGGGTTTTCCTCTCTGGGCCCTGCTGACAGGAGACCAGACTACACCTGGACTGCCCGGGGACGTGGGTGCGGCCGGGATGGATGCTGTTCTCAAGCGCCCCTGTCAGGGGACCTGCGGGGGACTGTGGGGGCCTCGGGCAGCAGGGCAGTGAGGCCGGCCCTGGGGGTCCACCTGGGCACCGTCAGCGCCTCCACTCAGCTTCCAGGAGGGAGTTAATTCGCCTCCCTTCTCTGAGGGCTGGATCTGACCTCTCCCCTTCATCCCCACTGTAGCACAGCGGGGAGGGCTGGGCAGCTCTGGGGGGGCTTGGGGAGCCCAGCCTGCCTGGGAGACCCTGCTGGGGGTTGGGAGCAAAACTTGGGAACCACCTCAAGGCGGCTTCTTCCTCCTTGGTGGCAAAGAGCCTCCTTTGAAATCAAAGAGAAATGATTCCTTGTCCACTCCCTTGGTTTCTTGTGGGTCCCTTTGGTGGGTCTCCCTTTGGAGGGAGGGGCCAGGTGCTGAGAGAGACAGAGGACCACTGTGGGCCGTCTCCCAGCACCATGCTCTGGTCTCTGCGCCTCCCTCCATCTCTCCTCCCTGCCTCACTCGCCCACCTTCTCTTCTCATTTTTGAGACATACGCCCACTGCCCACTGTATGTACATAACGCGGCTCCTTTCTCAACATATATGTATATACACATCCGTATACATATATCGTGTGGTTCCCTCTCCTTTCCTTTTTTTAAGAACCTATGGAAATAATACCCTAACAGATGAGCGAAAATGTATTATTGTAAAATTTATTTTTTTTAATAATGTTGTCTATAACGGGGGAAGGAAAGGAGGTGGGCTCCCTGCGTTTCTGCCCCAGTTGGGCTGACGGGGTCGTGGAAGGGAGTTTCTGATTGGTATCACGCGTAGCCGAGACTCCAATAAACATACTAGGAAGCAGTCTGCCTTCTGCTTCACTCTGGGTGTGCCGCCTCCCCTGGTTTGTTCTTGGCCTGGTGCTGATGTCTCTGTTGCTGTCCTGGGGAACCCTGGGAGGATGTGTGTGTCCACGTGTACACACGTGCCTGGGAGAATGTGTGTGTCCACGTGTACACACACGTGTCTGTCCACTGTGTGTCCTCGGGGCAGGTATTGGAGCTCTGCAGTGGAGATGATTTTACATTCCCTGGTCTGAGTTCCTGGTTGTGCTGAGCCTACTGGTTCATTCACTGGTCATCTCCTCCCTCCCATCGCAAACAGGCCAGTGCCTGCTGGCCCCAGACTGGAAGAGAATGGAAGTGGGGATGGAGGAAGGGAGGCGGCCTGATGTCACTTCTCATGACGTTTTTGTTTTAAGGATGCCTGCTTGGCCCTGTGAGGTGGCACAGTTGGTCTTCCTGTGGGGACTCCTGTTGTTTTTTTATGTGGTTGTGAAGATAGGGACCTGGCCTCTTGCATCCCAGCCTCTGATGGAGGGGTGGTGAGCCAGCCCGCCCTCTTTCTCAGCCATCACTAGCCTTACTGTGCATAGAGCAAAGTGAAATGGCCCTTAAGTTGGGAATCCATGTTCTTTGCAAACTGCAAAGAATGGTTCACTTAGAAGCCTTTGGGGAAGGTGGCCCACAGAGTGGGCGGGGGGGGAGGGGACCCAAGGAGGTTTGGGCAGGAACCAAAAGACATTTGAAAGGACAGAAAGCAGGATCTACAAGGTCAGAGTGCTGCCCCTTTGTGATGAATGACAACAACCATCATCCAGTTGGCTGGACTGGGGCCCTGTGCCTATCTCCTGCCCCTCTAGGGTGTCACGTTGTTCAGTTGCTAAGTCAGGTCCAACTCTTTGCAGCGCCATGGACTGCAGTACCCTAGGCTTCCCTGTTCTTCACTATGGCATCCTTAATGGAAGATAAGCCCTTGGCTTGCATCATGGGGAGAGATGATTTCCCCAAAGGAAACAGAGGTGCCTTTATGAAGGAGGAATAGAGGCTGGAGAGCTTTACTGTGACTTAAAACATCTCCCCATTCAGGTATCCCATAGCTAAAATTTTACCATTAAACATTCATTCCTTTGGTTGAGACAATTCCTATTCTCCATGACCCTCTAAAAATATGTAAATAAAACTGTGAAGAATAAAGTTTTATTATCTTAATGCTAATTAGTTTAATGATTTGAATGGATCTTAGTAACATTAAGACATTTAGGCCTAGACATTGAGATTAGGCTTGGGGGGCAGAGATGGGGAAAGAAGCAGGAAAGATCAAAACAAGGTTGGTGGGGGCCCCACCAGAACATCAGAATTACTCTCGGGTTCTTCTGGGGAGTCAAACACGTGACATATAGGCCCACGGCGCCTTTACTCCAGAGTCAGCAAAGTCTATAACGATTTTTTTTGCCACTAGTCTCATGGGGATTCCTGATCTGGGTCATGCATCTGTCTAGGAGTGTATCTTATTCTGTTTTCTAGGGTCTAGTGTGTTGTACAGACTGAAACCCTATAAAGATGCTTCTTCCCCCTGGGGGAAGCTTCCAACCTGGGATGATTTTGGATCTGCCAAGAACCCAGACCTCAGCTTCTGACCTGGCTCCTGCTACCCTCCTCTCAATGCAGCTAGGAACACTCAACCAGGCTACAGGCCTAGAAGAGACCCAAAGTGGTGGTGGGAAATCCAAGGAAGCTGGTTCAGAGACTCAGAGAACTTGGCATCCAGGGGGCCATGCCCTGGCCCTGGGTGGCCCTAGTATGTGAGCCTCATGGCTTGGCCCTTGCTTGTTCAGAGATCAGAGACAAAACTGTTACCTTAGTTCTCTGCACCCAGGCCCTGTTTGGAGCACAAAACAAAGAGGTGTTTTGGTTTTCCAGGAAACCCAACCTTGCTCTTGCAAGGCCTTCCAAGGACTCGGTCCCCAGGCCCTAGCTGGGCCCAGTTCTCTCCACTAGACCTTCAAGAGGTCACGCAGCTCAAGGATCAGAAAGAGGATATGTTGAGGCAGACCTGGAATTGAATTCCAAATGTGCTGCTCACCAACTGCGTGGCCACGTTCAATCTAAGCCTGTTTCTCATCTGTGTAAGGCGGCCAGCAGCCCTGCCTTCTAAGAGGTTGGGGTTGAATGGAATACCCTGCCAGGAGCCTCGCATTCAGCCACGCCCCCTCTCTTCAGCCACGCCCCCTCCCTTCAGCCACGCCCCTCCCTTCAGCCACGCCCCTCCCTTCTGTGTGGCTACCTGACCCTGCGCCTGGATTCTCAGTCCCTGCCTGGTAGGCAGGGCGCCTCCTCTTGGCAGCTGGAGGAACTGCTCTGGGGTCTATCTTAGGAGCTTCTCTCTCCTCCTCTGTGTCTCCAGAAACTTTCACAGATTCCCTGTGGCAGAAACAAGAAACGCCCACCATTAAGCCCCTGCACGGTGCTCTTGGAAGCGCTGCCAAGTGGAGTTAAGAGGACAAGCAGGGTTGGGGAGAGGGAAAAAGGAAACTTTCTGCTGTTGGTAGAGCGGAGTTGATTTGATCTGCGAGTCGCCGGGGACACTGGCTACAGAACATCCGAATGCCACGCACTCCCGAGTCCACTCTCAGAGTGTCTGCCCCTTCTCCACGCGGGAAGGCAGAAGATGTGGCACAGCTGTGGGTGCACCAGCTCAAAACTGAGGCCAGGATGCCGTGACTGGCCTTGGAAACGGAGGGCGGCAGGCTGGCATGGGGTCCCTGTGGGGCCCAAAGCCAGACCAGAGAGGCTTGGCTCCAGGGGATTCTTGGAAACTTGCTGCAGAGTGGGAGCCTTCAACTCTAGCTTTTGGGAATGAGTTCAGAGTCAAAGCACCTTGATGCTTTATGAGCAGAACCATCTGCCCTGTGATTTCCCTGTAGGGAAAAAGGGCTGTCAATGTGGTGGGAGTCTGAGGACAAATTCAAGTCCATATTCTATCCTCCAGAAGTCTGGGTATTCCTGGAGAGGGCGTGCAGGGACCTGGATTCTAACTCTGGCTCACCTAGCTAAGTCATTGAGCTTCCCTGAGCCTCAGAAAGGTTTCTCTAGATTGGGGATCAGCAAACTTTGTCTATCAAGGGCCAAATAATTAATGTAACAGGCTTCTTGGGCTGTGTCATTTCTGTTGCAGCTACAAACTCAGCCATTGTATTGTAGCTGGAAAACAGCCAGTAGCAATATGTAAGTGATGGAGCTGAATGTGCTCCAATCAAACTGGATTCACTAAAACAGGTCCAGGCTGGAACTGACCCCTGGGTTGCCGTTTGCCCACCGTGTTCTAGATGATCTCTGAGCCCAAGCTCTCAAGTCCAGGCTCTCTGACCACAGGACTTTGGTGGCAGGGAGTGACATGGATGATGGGGCTTCAGTCACCCCCAGGTGGATAGAAGAGAGGGCAGGTTGCCATTGTGATGGGGAGGTGGAGGCTGGTGAGCTGCGGAAGAGGATGCTTAGAGGAGAGGCCCCACCTCGGGCAGGCGCTGTGAGGAATCATCCAGGTAGCCTGCGGGTCACACACCCGCAGTTGTGGTCCGGAGCATGGCGGCTGCACCGACTATTCTGAGGTTGTGCCTTGTCTATGGGGTTGAACTTCAGCTGCTCTCAACTCATGCATGCATGCATCCCCCTGAACCCTGACGAGGGGGCATCACTCCCTGGTTTGCAGGAAGGCATCTGAGCTGGAGCAGGACCTGGGGTCCAGAGTGAGGGAAGCTACTGCTCCATATATGGGAGGGGAGAAGGTCACTCGAGAATGCAGAGAAGGCCCTGCAGGACAGCGGGGCCCCGAGAGCCCCTGCATGGCGATCGGCAAGCCTCTTAACCCAGCTGGGCCCACTTTTCTCGTCCACAAAGGGAAGGGCCAGAGGCACTGCTCTCCGAGGGAACCTGAGGAGGTTCCCGTCCTCAGTAGGATTCTGTGATTCTATGACTGCCAGCTCTTTCTGAACTCGCCAGCCTGGCACTGAGTAACTTGGAAGGAGGTGGAATTCATCTCTCTTGCAATAAACACCACCACTCTGCTTGGCTGCTCCAGTTTTCCCCAAGCATCTTATGCAGAACTGCAGACTGCTGCCTGGGGCTCGTTCTAGGGATGGCTGATGGTGTTGTCCCTCATGCTTTGCCTCATTCCCTCTTTTCTGATGACAGTCCACACCCGTGGGGGAGCACCCACGGAGCCGGCCCTGGCCTCCCTTCCTGGGGAGCTCTTGAGTCACCACTTTGACCTGGGTCCTCCTGGGCAGTCAGAGGTGACAGAACCTCCTCCACTGGGACCACCCACTGGGCGGAAGTGAGTAATCCTCATCCAATATCTCTGTAGGAGGAATTTGTGGAGTCACTGGGGCTGGCATGATTCAAGTGCTGAAGCTCTTGCAGCCGGAAGACAGGCTTTCAGGAAAACCTCCCCCTTAATTTTTTCCCAAGCCTGCTCAGTGGGCTGCCCTCTCGAGACCCTCTTCCCCTGCCCACCCATGCTCAGGAAGTCGACAATTTAAAACAAAGGCTGTAGCTCTCACTCTCCTTCATTTCAAACCAGAGTCCAGCCTTGTTGGCCAAACAAATCCTTGTAGGATGACGCCGCTGGCCTAGTCCATCCTTCATTTTTATCCTCAGTGAAAGATGAAAGGCCTTTTATTTTCCAGGGGCCCCAGAAACCTGAAATCATTCTTAATTCTCCCTGTGTTAGAAAGCTGGGTGAGCTCAAAGCCACAGTGACATGAAGGACAAAAAGGCCTGCCCCCCCAAAAGTGTATTTATAGCATGTCTACCTGGGGGGCTGCTGAAGTCACCTTTTCTCCCAAAGCGCAGAGACCTGACTTTCTTGATGATTGGAAATGGTCCACAGATGCTGTCATCCCAGGGGACGGTGATGACCCCTCCAAAAGCCCTTCAAACTCACCCAAACCCATGCATCTCTCTGTCCAGCCCTAGGGTATCTATGAAAAAGATGGGGCAGTCTGGGGGAGCAGACAGAGTTGCTGGGTCCCTCTCTGCTGCCAGGGA